GTCGATGACCAGAGATTCCGTAATATAAAGTCGATTAAAGCGTATACTTCTTGGCGTCTTTAATTGGATCGTATAAATGAGTTGGAGATTGAATATCCTATATTTACAACGTGTTACAGAATCATTAATACAATTGACTTATTTTAACCTTGACTAAATTACTCTGGTAAAAATTTCGCAATTATGAAAAAAAAACTCAACTTAGAAGATCCATCGTATTTAATTAACTTCACAAAAGTAGATAAAATGGTACATGTACATTAAGTTGATTAGTCATGGCAATTCATTTTCTACATTAGGAAAAATATATTAGAAGATGACTATAATAGTTTATACGGAGATTTACTATGAGGAGTGAACTCATTAAAAAAGATATTCTTTATCTGAATTGTTTTATAATTTATTTACACCATATAATAGTACTAATAGTAATAACAATAGTAATAATGATTGAAGTCGATTGGATGTTATGTTATGTTTATTGTGATTGTTATATCAGTAATATGTTCAATATTAATTTAATCTATGCTTTTATATATTAGTTAGAAAAACATTATAAACGCTTCCTCTTTCCAATAATTAATATTTCAACAATATATATATATATATATATATATATATATATATATATATATATGTACGCATACAATGACCTATATATATATAAATGGATGTAGATTTCATCAACAAATTTGTATTGTATTGTGTATATAATATTCTTTTTGTATGAATTGTGAATTAAATACGGCATCGTTACTATTATTATTACTATTATTAGCATGTATTTATGTAGGCAAAACTTCTATATAAATATGTGTATATGCTTGTAGGGATATGGTTATCATCATCATCATTCTATTGATATACTATGTTTATGAATGTACACGTATCGTTCGTTGTTTAAAAGGTTTGTCCTAATATGTATTTGCGCATATATGATCTTTATTTCGAAATGTGAACGTAAACTGTCTTCCATATATATATATATATAGGAGTTAGATAGTGTATAAACTTCATTGTAACTGAAGTCAAACGTAGAAACTATGAAAACTAGAAATCACTAAATAATTGTTTTGTCTTGATTGAAGACAATATGTTGACTGAAGTTACGAAATCCTATTCAATGGACTAAAAATATTTTTTTCCAGACTTTCAGTAGTGGTTTAGCTATGATTAGTTAGTGATTTGAAATGAATAACCATGGGCTCATTCGTGACTAGCTTCAAGGTGTCACTCATGCAGTCGTAGTGAGAAGCCGTGATCAGTTGAGTTCTATCCGTGCCGGGTGTGAAACATATATCCAAGGCAGTCAATGGAAAATGGTCACGCAGTATCATAAATTGATTAAAATTACACATTAACACCTTTGAATATCGTTTGAGTGATTTAAAAGTTAAACGTTTGAGTGCGAGGTTTCAGGTCCCGTGTTTGGTTCTCGGTTGCTGGGTCGCGGATGTGTACTGTTGAGAAGTTCCATACTGGAACGAAACGGCCATCCAGTGCTTCCAGGTTTTCAGTGTTGGTCTAGCCAAGTTCAGTTCGTTGTTCAAACTGTAAAAAGTATTGTGTTCATTGTCAGACTGGGCTCTCTCCAGAACCATTCTGTTTACTGCCATAGGTGTAGAAGTCTGAGGAATAACCAGAATAGGATGAAACAATTATCTTGTGCTTCCTGAGTTTTTTTTCGTGTACACTATTTCATAATAAAAATTGTTTTTGTGTTTTTTAAATCATATGAGAACTGAGGTCAATTATTTTGGAAAATGTAAGGCACATAAGTTTTATTCTCTTCAAAATACCCCCGAATTTATTCATTACGCTTGACCTATTTCAGTGTCCATGATTTAAGACATCCTTAGATGTTTTTAAAATTCAAACATCTTAACTTCCTCCTCTTTGTTTCATGTTTTGTTGTCTCCATTATCTATTAAAGCTGCCTCTTTATGACCGTTATGTGTCTTTTTAAACCAATTAAAAAGCTTAGGAAGCTATATCCAATTATTAGGTAGGGTGATCTAATGTAATGATTGAATTATTGACCAGAAATTCTCTTATGATCACTACTGAATTCACAGGTTGATTATTTTAATACGTCCAACTCCTCACAGAAATGTTTGATTCATTTGTAAAGCTTGTTTTTTTAGTGCTTTATCTTTTTGCATAGTTCATAGCACTTCATGAATTGACTTAAATTTCTTCATATATTTAGCTTGATACTTCGTGTTGCGCTGTCACCATATTTATTCGACTATTAAGATTAGTTATTATGTGTGAAAATTATATTTGAAATATTCTCAGCGATTGAAATTTAACTAATTCCAACGTTTTGTCCAGCTAACTTGTCTGGACTTCTTCAGGGTAATAATTAGTATTATTGGCTTTATTCAGTATTACATTTTTGGTACAACATAAGAATTCTCAGTACAAATTATTTCAATAGGTTTCCTTTTCTTATTTATTGATCGGTCTTTGTGATAAATATTGAGTGGTCGCCGGTTAGATGTTAGCAGTTCAGGACTCTACATGTATATTCTTTTCGATGCATATTGCCAGTAACCACGATGATTCTGATCGGGCTCTTTTATAACTTTTACAGCGAAATATCTTAAACTTGAATAGGCTGTGATACTAATAGGCATAATGATGTGCCAAAACAAACATGAGAAAATATAACTTGTTGAAATATTCAGATAGCAAGAACAGGTAGCCCAGATATTCAAACAGGTCGCATCTGTCATATATATTAGATTGTTGTCGTGTGATTTACTTCCTTAGTGTTTCAAAATTACGTATAATATTCTATGATTTAATGAATTATTTGATGAATTATTTAGTTAATTGTTTATTTGATGATAATTAATTTTCGTTTTACCTAAAGTAGTTATATATACAACTAAATTTGAGAAAGTAGATCACAGGTCATATCAATCGTGTTATGTGACAGTAGTCCATGAATTCTCATTGATTTTTGTTGAATTGCTATGCGGAAGTATGAGCTAACCTGAATGAATTTTAAAGCGGAGATGGATAGTGGATAACAATCGAATCCAAGACGCGCGTTTCGTCCTTCTCGGGACTTGTCGGCTGGATGTATCCGGATGCCAGAGTTTATGTTCACACCGAGGCTCGGACCCTGTACCGTTCATTTCAAAAGCCATCGCGTTATCCATCTAGCTACTGAGTTCTGGATTCTATTGCCAACCACTATCTATCTCTGTTTAAAAATGCTGGTGACTTATTAGGAATATCGAGGAAATCCCCACGTGATGCACATATGTCAAAAGAGACTGATCGATTCCAGTCTTAAACAACTATGAGAAGATTCAAACAACCAATATATATGAAATAACCTATATGCACTTGTTCATATGGTCATTATCAGATCCTATGAATGATATATTTCAAGATAAAATAAACAAACTCAGAGTATCATTCAACTTACATGTTTATTCGAATTATGAACCGTTTTTGGACATTATACTAACATGTAAAGTAAATTCATCACTTTGTAAGCTCTAGTGTTTACTATATAGTGATAAATTATGTTTCATTTAAAGGCTAAGGAATGCTGTTCGTGGAAGAACAATACATTTCAATAGGTTAGTTGATTCAAGCAGGGGATATTATAAAAGGATCGTATATATATATGGTAGTCTGTAGAAACTTCCAGTTATATTACATGATTTGTCATTTGAATCAAATTACAACGAATCTATGCCAAATTTATCTCCCTCAATTTCTCTATAAATGGAAAATTTTTATTCATTCGCACTAAAAATGCATGACGTGTAACTTTTTTAGCATATTTATTTTGATAAGTAATTTTTTTTAAAAAAATAATCAAGTGTTAAATTTCACCAATGGATTAGAACTATTATAGGTATCTGTATAGAATTGCTTTTTGGATTGTTTTTGTAAATCATTTTTTTAATTGTTTTTAGAATGCTTGATTTCTTTTTGTATCTATCTGTATATACAGCTGGTACCTTTATATGAGTAATATAAATGAGTGTCAAACGAATAATTAAACCATTATATTCATGGATATTTTAGTTAAATTTACGATGCCTTAAGCAATATGAAATGGATTAAGTTAAAAATTTGGTTGATAATTGAACTTTAACGTTTTAAAAGGCAAGCTCATATTGTGACATAATGACTATAGGGTTTAATCGCTGGTGGCATCATATGTATGTATAGCTGTTCACCGGTTCTTAGTTTTCACTGGTCTCCTAGATATATCATTTGAAATGATAAATTAAAATCTATCGTTTTGTATTAGCACATTTTTCAACGACTGAAAACTAGAAGAATCAAAGAGTAATATAATAACCGAAATGACTATCACAATATAGTAAATCAATGTAGAGAAGTGAAATGCCCAAGATTTAGAGAATTACAAATGATTACATTGATGAAAAAGATTTATGGATCAAGTGAATGATTCTGGTGGAGTTGAATTCTCTGAATTTAATCAAGAAACTTTCATTGTCTTGGTAAACAACTCTATCGAGACAAATTTTTAGATTAAAGTGAAATATTACAATTTTCTTACAAATTGTTTTGTCTATATCAAATTTGACTTGGTTTTTTTCACCAAAAATTTGTTCTTTTATTGTTTGCACATTTATTTTGATTGTCTTCCTGTTTGATCTAATTTCATTCATACTGTGTTACTCAGATTCTTTACTTATTCTCGTGAATATATCCATGATATTTTCATTTAAAAAAAAATAAATCAGACTAATATACAATGAATGTATCAGTCGCTAACTGTAAAACACTTGAGATTCAATTATATAGGCTTATTTCCAATAAAAGTTTGAAGCTAAGCTACATGATCTGGAATAACAGTAGCATACGTTTGTACGTAGTTTTAAAACGATAAATTAAATGTCAAAACAGGTTACTTGGAATCGAAGTTATCAGTCAATGAGATCGAATCCTATCATTCAACAATTTAAAGAATCGTTTTTAAAAAAAATTTTTCTTAAATTTAGATTACTCAACATTATGTACTGTTTTTGATCATAATCAAAAATCCTACAAGTATATCTTTTTACTGAATTTTCTTTCAATTATTTCTTCTTAATTTTCTCATGTTTACAGCGAAAGTCATTCACGATTCTATGCTAGTCAAGTGGTGTTGGCATTTGAATATCTACATCATTTAGAATTAGTCTACAGAGATTTGAAACCGGAAAACATTCTTATCGATCAATATGGATATTTAAAGGTACTTTCAACTGGTTTGCTTTTTTTTATTTATTCATGTTGATAATATCGTTTAAATTTACTCCAATATTTCACTATTTAATTGGAAATGATTGAATTCCACTTTTTCTCTTATGATCTTAACCAGTTATGTGACTGAAAGTTGATCATAAGAGAAAAATTGTACTTGACCAATGTGTTATATTTATTAGACTTTTTAACCAATAATTTTTTGTGAAGATTGTATTAATTTCAATAGTTGAAATCATGACTGAATTGAAGCTAGACCACCATGAAAAACCTGTTAACACTGGACGACCGTTTCATCTTATTGTGAGACATCAGTGGAGTTCAACTGGGTCTATTATGAGATAATAACTTACTGATGACAATGGTGGATGTGTCACTCAATTTCATGGATTAGTTAAAGTTACACATTAACACTGTTGGATGCTGCCTGGTTCAGTGGTGTAACGGTTAAGTGCTCGCATGCGAGACTGATAAGTCCTGGGTTCTAATAAATCAATTATTTAATACCTTTTTAGTTTTCATTAGTTCCCATATATGAAAGTAATCGATGACGAAAATTAACTTTAAACTTGGTTATGTATTTTATAAAATTGAATTGGATGAAAAATATTTATAATAATAAATAAATGTACTACGATATAGAATAAAGAATAATAATTGAGTTATTATAAACAATTTCATTGTTAAGTTTTCAATGTGATCTCATCATAATCTTTTCATTAAATTGTATATTATTAAAATTAATTAGCTTAGTAATGAATGTTGTCGGATTCGATATCAAAAATATAGAGAATTTATAAATAAATTTCTTATTTTGTTTCAGTAGATATATTTGAGTTAGTATCTTGACTATACAATGTACAAATGTTACATATAAATAGAGTAATATTAAGTCATATTGACAAGCATAATCTTGAGTGCTGTCGCTAATTTTTAGTCTCAGCCATGTTGGTTGATGTAGACTACTTGGTCGGGGTTCGTGCGACTATCGTAACCAATGGTTGGAGACTGTGGGTGACGCGGCTCAGAATCGATCACAGTGGTGTAGGTGTATACACTCTCTGTCTTCCTTTAAACTATGAGATTAAAATTATTTCATATCTTTCTTTGTAGAAAGTAAGTCTGTCTTTGTGTACTATATTCTTACATAAAAATCTTTTCTTTATATATTACACCATTTAGTTAACTGGTTCTATGAATCCGTTGTTCGTCATGCTGTGCTAATGAGGTGTGGCAACTTGGACCAATGCATGTATGTGTTTGGTCCTACGTTGTAACTGACTGACTTACAAGCATGGTCTTATTGAATTGTCATGTTATATCTCGATTGTAGATATGCAAACATAATTTGTAATATGACTACATAGTGATAATAATCACAAAAACCTTGAAGAAGATATTCAGTATTTATATTGTCTATTTAAATCTTCCCATTAATGTGAATATCAACTCTCAAACAACAGGTATATCCAATTGATATGTCCCGAATGGGACGAGACAGGCATCCTGGATTCCACTACTAGCCATCATCGATCTCTGCTTAAGATTTAGTATATGATTAACGATCTTTTCGAAACATTATTTGTGTCTATGGTGAAACCATCTGAGTGAGTAATGCCACAATTAGACAATTGTAGGGTATTGATGGCAAATAAGTTGACACTGTTGTGAATCTTCAAATTCTGAGGTGGTTAGGACATTTGTTATTTGAAGTTATTCCTTTCATATTATTCTGATGAGACATGTTGGTTAACATAGGGATATGTTGGAAGGGGAAGGATAATGTCAGTCAAACTAAGTTATGATAGTCGTTTTCGAAGAGATTGATCACTGTTAAAAGCCTTGTTGACTTCCGTTTTGAGAGCTCGACAATAATCATGAATTACAATTGAAATCCTTAGATATGATGGCTGAGAATTGATGGTTTTACTAAAGTTTTTTTCTCTCTTGAAATTCTAAGTCTATTGTCACTGTAGAGTTTTCAAACTATTTTTTTATGTATTGCCAATGGTTGTAGTCAGTATTATACTCCTCTTTACTTTTCATTCATGTTGGATTCATCACCTCACTGTTTACTGTATATAATGTGGTGATTTGAGCTGATGAAAATGTTTACCAAGTTGTATTTCTATGAATCCGGTGTTCATCTTGTGCGACTTGGCAACTTGGACCGATGCCTGGTCCTGTGTTGTAACTGACATTGTTTGCAACTGATCTATTGTTAATTTTGGCTTAGTTTTCATTGTAACCTTTGTTAATGTTTAGGGTTTATCATTTTATTGTGATATACACTATCTTGATTCTCTAAGTTACAGTCATAAAAGCGGAGAAAAAAATCACTGAACAGTTAAGTGACAACAACGGAAACTAACACGATTTCATTTTATTGATGGAACAGTGGATAAGTGATTTAAGTGCTTTTCATATTCAACCAATAAATTGACAGTTCGAACCTCGTAATAACCTCACTAGTCATATAAACAATATGGCTTAAAGTTGAGTACATTATCCCTTTACTTTGTAACAAGAAAATTTAAGCTAACATTTGAAACGTCAGTGGGAAGATTCAGACAACTAATACAAAAATGAATTAAACTTTAACCCATTGCACAGGCTAGTGGCTATTTGTAAATGAATATCGTGATGGTGTTTGAAGCGAACTGTACTGGGTTGGAGTCCTGTAGTGTACATTAACTCTAGGTTGCAGGTACACCCAACTGACGATTCTCAAGTAGGACGAGACGCGCATCCTGAATTGCACTGCTATCTACCATCCATCTCCGCTTATAATATTTATATTAACATTGATTTAAGATTTCTGATTAAAAAGTAAACGCCTTTTTTCCTAATCCAACAATAACGATATGACTCTGATTCTTAACTCATCTGGTTTATAGCTTTTTAGATATATGATTAATACCATCTACATTTGTATGTTATTTACAAAATACACTATTTTTAATGTCATATATAAGTGTAAATAAATTAAGTAGACAACTTTCTACAACTCAGTTATTGAAAACTAGTTATGTTTTAAAAAAAAATCAATTCCATGCCAACAATATGTGACTCGAACTCACAGTAAAACGATGCATCCTATTAACAGTTGTTTTACACTTCAATTTTTAGACTGCTATCAACCAAATTATTTTCAAATCAATTATATATTAATTAAATATTTTACAATAAGCTTTGTGGTTATTTTCTTTAAAAAAATCTACTCTTGGAAGTATTTGTTTCTTGCCGTTGTTGATGTCAAGGTTTAAAAATTGATCAGTCTCTTTTTGACATTTATGCATTCTGTGTAAATTCCCTCTATATTGTCATTCAGTGGCTAACAGTAGAATCTCGGACATACATTTTGTTCTGTCTGAAACTCGTTGGTTGTTTAATTCGAAAGGTTTTGAGTTCGACCCTTGGTAAGAACATTATCAATTGGGTACAGGTATATTCAACTGAAGTGTCCCAAGTAGGGCGAAACACGCATCAAACTGGATTTCACTGCTACCCACTGTCCAACTCTAATTAAATCTACTCTTGAAATTTATGGTTAGCAGTAGTAATGTTCGACAGAATTGTAGGTGAGAGATGGATAGGTCTCTAAATAAATACCATTGTGAAACAGCCAATGCGACTGCACCAGTTTTGATGATCTTGATAATGTTTTTACTAATGTAGTAGTAATATAGGTAACTTTCATACAATATTTTTTATTCGGTTTCTTAGATATCATGAATCAGTATTGGAAAGTATTAATTAACACTCTTTTTTATATTGTACATTTAAAAACAGGGTAGGGTAAATTACGGTATCTAATAAAACTTTATTGTTTAATTGCATGGATAAATTGACTAGATAATAGAAACGTTAGATGAGACGGTATGAAAGAGTATATTTATCCTTGGTTTATTAATATTGATTTTGATGTGCAGATCTGTTTGTCCAACCACTAAATTTGCTTCTACCTCCCTGAATTTGATCGGTAACAGATAAATCGTTTGAAGTCAAAATTGAGTATTAATTCAAGACGTCTTTCTATACCACATGTATTGGATACAATTTTTAGACTCTGAATATCGTCTTCTTTCATGTTTAATTGTAGATAAATAACGCGGAAGTGTTTCATTTGCATTTGATTATATGACACATGATCTATATTGAGAGTTATTTGAGATTAGGTAAACCCTTGTGTTTATGTACAAAAATAAGGGTATTTACGTGAACATATATGACCATAAGCTATTGGAAGCCAAAATGTGTAACACTTTGAATAATAGTACAGTCCGATATTAACAACAAAGTAAGTTTTTTCAAGGAATTATCTAAGCATTCTGATTACTTTACAAACTCGATTCTCAGTTTCTCTACTAGAACTGGCGTTTTACTACTTGAAATGAAATAGACGGAGCAGGGTTTTACAACCTACAACCTGATGGTCAAAAATTGAATGGCTTAACCACACACTAAATCACAACATCCACTTAAGTTTTGGATTATATCTTACAGATAACGTGGATTAATTGGTTATTGATCCACTTCCCTAAGCTTCTTACTAGAATTTCATTATTGATCCGTCTAGTATTCCATTTTACGGAAATAAAATACCAAATAAATCTTTAATTTTTCCTTCTAGGACTATTTTTTTACACTTCATTCACGTTTACGTTATCTTGCTATTTGTATTATTATTATTACGATTTTTAGTTGGGTGGTAATGGATAAAAATGTTAGACTGTTTTCTGCCTTTTTGTCACTTTAGTTTACCTAAGTAGTTGTTGTTGTTCTTCTCTCTCTGTGTGTGTTTGTAGTTTATGTATTCCCTGTATGTACATATGTATGTTTCAGTTTGTAATTGTCTAACGCAAATTGACTGGTGAATTGATTACATCATAGTACAATATTCTTAATGGTTCTCTGATATAACGAGACTTGAAACTATAAAACGTGGTTAGCATAATTACTTATTGATTCCATTACTACTAATACTATCATACACATTTATCTGATAATTTTTATTGATAGAAATAGAAACAAATACTAATGATTCTTTCACTACTTGCTACGGACTACTACTACTGTTATCTTCATTTGCTTTTCGTTCGACTGTAGTAAAGCAAATAAGTGTTGGCAGTATGAGACTATATTTATTCACGCCAAAAAAAAAAAAAAAAATATATATATATATATATATATATATATATATTACTATTTGATATACGGGATGTCAGTTCTAGTTACAACTAACAAAGTATGGTTGACAGTAAAAAAAAAAAAAAGGAAGGAAACAAACTTCGAAACCGTAATTGTGGTCTCATGAAGGAATAATTGATTGTCAGAATATTGTTTTGGAAGGTTTCATAAAATTAGTTGAAATTTTGAAAATTTATTGAAAATTAATATAATAAATACCAGGACTGTTACTATGACTGTTGATATCTGTTTCCATTGGTTGATCATTAGGTAGACTAATGGTCAGTGTCAAGTTTATTTAATGCACACCGATAATTAAATTCTGTAAATCGAGTTGAAATATCAATTGTCGACTATTTTTAATTTTGAGAATTTGTGGAGATCGTGGATGCCCATTGCTGAGGAGTCCCATACTAGGACGAAACAACCGTCCAGTGTTTTCACGTTTTTAATGGTGGTCTAGCTTAGATTGACTCGTGAATTCAGCTTTGACTATTTTTAATTAATTAATATTCATTTATAAATTAATTGATCTGATGATGTAACTGATAAAAAATAGTGACTTATATTATCAATGTGTTTACTTCTGACATCTTGTAAAATTATTGTCCTATAAAATTAAATAAAGAAAATATCTATTGATAATAGGAAAATGCTACATAGAAACTAACGACTCATGAAGATAATATTCATTGATTCAGTTAAATAAACTAAATGTCATATAATGTTCCTTATAATCAATGGTGAGAATTCCAATAGATCATAATCAACGTAAAACCTAACAGATGTGTATTGTTCAAAGTTCCTGTAACATATAAACATACGTAGATGAAATTAGTAAGATGAATGGTGAAAGATTGAAAATAATGTAGCAGTAATGCAAATTGAAAAAAAGTACTAAACATTCGGTTTGATGTGGTAGGATGAGAAGGTATGTGTGAAGGAGTACAGGAATTCAAGATCAAGAAGAGCATACAGAGTAAATCCATGTAAGTGATTTTGAGTTATGTTACCTAGAATCTTCATCGATTGATCACAATCATCTCGCTGACCTTAACCAGGTAACCTACATCTATCAATATATTTTAAGCTAATCGTCAATAATTTAATGCAATGATATCATTTCTTGATTTAGGCTACCTCCAGGCTTTCTTCCAGCTTAATTCAACACTAGTAAACATCACTCATCGAAGTAGTAGGTGGTGTTCAGTTTTCCAATAGGTAGTGTAATAGGGATAAAAATTCAAGAGAGTAACGTTCGTAGTCAGTCTTCTTCATTATGATAATCGAGTAAAGATCGATTATCGTAATCAATGAATGTTAATTTTAATGGATAAAATAATATCACAATAAAACTAATAGTTCGAGTTCCTACCCAGTAAACACAGAATTCATACTGCTAATGACAAGTCTCATCTTAAAATAAAACATCTACGCGGTGTTTTCTGGGCTCAAATTACCGTTTTTTGGTGTTATTTATTGTCAAGGAAACTTGAAAGAAGACCAATTCTAACTTTCTTATTATATATATATATATATATATATATATATATATATCTTTCTGCAATCCTTTTCTTATTGAGGACTTAAAGTTGATAATTAATTTGTATTCATTAAACGATTTATGAAGTATAGTAGTTTTGTTGATAGACAAGAATTTGAAATGTAGACTATTGAATTTCAACTCAATTATCAAACGGTATCATGTTTGCCGTTAGAATTGTAAGTACTGTATGCTATTCCTTAAATTGTTGTAGAGATGGTATCCTTGAGGAACCTTTTAATTATATGAAAAATCTGTCTAGAGGTGAATGGTTCTCAAGGAGCTATTCTGGTTCATAGTGGAAACCAACATTATTTTGCATAACTTCTCGTTAAACAATAGGAAGTTTTACAAATAAGTCAGATATCACGACAAATTTGTATATTTGTTACATGTTATCCTATCGGAATTATTAATTCAGTTAATCTTGAGTAAAATATAGGAGAGATCATGATACAACAGAAGAACTGTATGTGAAGCGTAAACTAATGAAAAGTTGTTTCTTTTTTCCTGAGGATCACTCATTTAAAACTTTTTAAACGCTTATTAATCGGTCGGCATTTGGAATTGAGTTTTTTATTATTACCGAGATTATCTAGTGCCAATCTCTCTTGTTCTCTCTGTATCGCCTTGTTCTTTTCTACAGACATTTTTTGTTCACTGAGTCAGATAATTTAATTCATTCTGCATTAAACGCTCAATTAGTTCATTCTGATTAATTTGTTTGTAAATCGGTTTGTTATTTCAAGTTTTAATGTTCTAATCTATCAAGGATTTCTGTTAATTATGGTTTACGGTTGACTTTCAATCATGTGATTAATTGACTTTTTCCTTTTGGGATTGATTGATTGACTGATTCTTTTTCGATATGTTCATTGATTGGAGATTAACCTAAATGCCACGGTTCTAGACATTAGTTAACATTCTTTTTTTTGATCCAGAACTTCGACGTTTTCCGAATCTAATTTGTCTGTATGGATTGTTGTCAATGGTAACATATCGTATTATTTCACTGCTAGTCGGTATTCGCTAATATGTCTACTTGTCCAACATGATGGAATTTATTTGTGAATGATATTGCATGTTTCGCTCAATTTTTAGAATAGATGGGGGAATGGTAAAGAAAAAAACGATCCATAGTTATTCAACAATAAATTGTTTAGGTGTTGATTTAGATACCCTAGAATCACATAGAGTAATTAATGAAAACAATACCTTAAGTACAGTGGCGTTATAATAGACTAAAAGAAAGGTTTGATTTAACTCAAGAGAAGTAACCACAATTATAGAAATATTTTTAATATTTTGATGATAATGATCTTACCACTTTTTCCAACTTATCAATGCATATATGTATTCAGCTTTAATTTATACTGTATGTGTGAGGATTATTGATATTAGCTGATTATACAAATCGAAATAGTCTAAACACAACTTAAATCTGTGACATTATTGGTTATGAATGTCAAATACTTTAACTACTTAGCTACTCAGTAGTGCGCACTGCTGAAGAATCCCGCAATAGGACTAAACGCTCGTCCAGTGATTCCAGGTTTTCCATGGTGGTCTAGCTTCAATTGACTCACGATCTCAACTATTGAAATTACTATAATATCCACAAAAACCCCTTTTGATATTAATTATTTGTTTAATCTCTTAATAAAGTTAATTGAATGTATTTTTTTCTATATTTTCTGTAATTTCCATAAATATTGTTTACAGATAACAGATTTTGGTTTTGCTAAACGTGTAAAAGGTAGAACATGGACTCTATGCGGTACACCAGAATATTTAGCTCCTGAAATTATTCTAAGCAAAGTAAGTTGTATCAGTAAGTTATCTTATATTTATTTAAACCCATAAATATTAATACATGGGGAAACCAAATGTATATGTTTCACACTTCGTTTGATTTGTGTGATGGCTAGGATACTATCCGGGTGCCAAAACCGAAACAGGTTGTTTTCTTAGGGGGCCACTCCCAGAGCTTTTGACCTAGAAATCTAATCCACAAGGCGGTGAAGTATCGTTAGGAGATGCAATCTCATGGTAGCCGGTAACCAACAGTAGATCCATACACCATTCGTTCCTTTAGGGTTGTGGAGCGCATGTACACCATTGATTTGGATTAATAGTTTTTCGATTCCCTTAGGTGGATCCTCCATATTCTAAGCAAGGTAAGTTATATCAATAAATTATCACAAATATTTGACTTTTATTAAGAAAAACTCATCATTTAAATTATAAATAATTCCATTTATATTCTTTAAGTATATGATGTAGTGTTTTTACTAGGATACTACTCAATTTCACACATGGTTAATTTACATTTTTATTAAGTAATTGGAATAATTAAAATGTCAAATCAAATAATACATTTAGAAGGTGTTTATAATAATTGAACTGGGAAATTTCATAACACAGGGAAAAATATATCAATTACTCAGTAACTAAGATAGAGGTGATACAAATATTTCTTGGTTCAATGTTCATTATGTTAGTATCCAACAACCTCAAATGACAGCAAGAATTATTTTTTAATATTACATCAGCTTAAAGCTTCAGTATTGTATTTGTTTAACACTAGTGTACATGATCAAGATCAGTGCTCTATACTTCTGTCTCTAAAAATGCCTTTATTACATAAGTTTGTTATAAGCTTATTAGCACAATACTGAAAAAGCTTTTGGTTAACTCCTTGGATTTCCGTATATGCTTGTCTGTAAGTTATAATTAATGTGCTAGACATAATAGTCTTACCAGGATTTTCTAGTTCAAAGTAGATGAAGCCGTGTTTACATCTTCAATCCGTTCAACTACTGTTGATTCATAGCGTAATATGATATTTTAATGATGTAGGTAAATATTGACCAGACGAAACTTTTCGGAGAGTGGTTTTTATCATATTCCACGTAGTTTCGCGCATGATTTACGTTTACTTTTACTGTATAGACAATATAGCACATTTGAAATGTGTAATTTTGTTCTCATCTCTCTGGCACATTGTTTGTGTGAGGGATAGTGATACTATTCATCTGTCCAGACTAAAGTTGGGTGAAGTGGAGTTGGCATCTTTGACTTATTAATAGAGAGTCCAGTATTTTAATTACTATTTCATTCTATTTTTCAAAGAAATTTACTCAGTCATTTTCATTACATTGGACATCAACATACCTTATGCGTTTATTCAATATTTTGTTTAATAGACTATAACGTTTTACTACTTTCTTGTCATTCTTTAGTTCGTACTTCTCATCTTATTATTTCTACTTAACTTGTTCTAGTATTTACGTCTTTATTCTTACTTGACAACTGTCAATAGTTGATTGTGTAAGAAAACTTTTCAAATCTCATACTATCAAGTAGTTTATTCAATTAATCCTTGGAACATGATAATTGACCACCCATTCACATTTATCTTTGAATTAATCCCACAACAATTCATAATTATAGCGAGACTATAATTTTGAGATGAACTAATCAGACTTAAAATAGCACATCTTAGATTATAGCCCGAAATTTTTATGGTTCATATAACTAAATACAATTTTGGAATTATAGTCAATGTCAGTTCGTGATGAAAACGCTAATTCTAATTCCTAACCCCTAACGTCCTAATCTTAATTCCTTACACTAATTTACAAACCTCATTTAATCATAGTAAGTAGGTGGACATTCTCAAAATCACCGAAGTATTACTCAAAGATCTCACCATTTATAGATCTCAATTGTAATTTCTTTCATTGTTCTGAATGATCTATATATTGCTAAATATAATCATATATATGTTAAATGAGTAAATTTTCATTTGTATCTCACAAGTAACAACTTGTTTAACTATCCTTCAAATTTATCTACTCATCATATTATAAAAAGAAAAAGAATGAATTACATGTAACATACTTAAAGTCTCTTATAATTGTGTTTTCTTTTCTTTTTCTTTTGTATCCGACAAACACATTCAATTTCTTCCATTTTCAATTTTACAGTACATACACAATTTTTCTTTTTTTTTCTCCTTTCATTCATTTATCCTAGCAGTTTTCATTTTTTTTATTTATTTTGTCATTGATTTATCTAAAATCTGATGAAGTGTAAATACTTTAACTATTATCAATTTACATATCAATATACATGATAAGAGACATGTATTACCTTTTGCTAGTGTCTCTCTGTGTGTGTGTGTGTTTCCTACCTGTTTTAATTATTCCTTTACTACTTTTGAGATTCACCTGATCTATTGATTTATTCTGTATTCTTACACTTTTTTCTGCACTGGTCAACTTTTTGTAAATAAATATAGTTTCTTATGCAGTTGCATAATTTCACTATGTATCAGTACAGAAAGAAAAAACACACAAGAACACATTGAAGAATCTTGACATATTTAATGTTTTCTCCCATTACTAATTGTAATATTGTTTTTTTTTGTGTGTATCATAAATGTTTTGTTTTTTTGTATCTGTTTATTGACGTGCTTATATTTGTATGATGTATTCATCATAGATTGATCTCATTTGTAATATTATTGTAAATCAAACGATGGTAAACAGATACCTCGTCCTACAACTTGACTCATCAACAATACGTGACTACGAGCTTATTAAGGATAGAGTCCGGGAGCTTCACGTATCATGATGAATGTTTAATGATTAGAATTTATGGGTAGAATTTCAACTCATTTGTGATGATATAGCGTAACGATCATCTGATACGTTTGGTGAAAGTTGTTTCTTTTTTGATATGTCTGATGAGGGGTAGCATAAGGGTTGTATTGATTTCATACATTTTCTGAAGTAATGAGTTTACTCTGAGGACTGTTATCGGAATCTAATTAAATATGAGAACAAATTAACCTAATCGACAGTAAGTTAGAATTAAGTCTTTTTTTAGAAGTTATCCATATCCATTACCTACAGTATTCAATCTAGGAACCGAGTCTCGCGTGCTTGATCGTGGTTGCATAATGCTGAGGAGTTGGATGCCAGGACGAAATGGCAGTCCAGTACTTCCAGGTTTTAAATGATTGTCTAACATTGATCAGTTCATGATTTCAACTAAAATATTTGGAGAAATAATCATCACTCCTTGACATATTATATGAGTATATGATATGTGCTGCGTATGCTGACAGATATAAGTAGTATGTATCAGCAATCGGAAGTGGAATGTCTGCGAGCAGAAAATTGAATTGAAGAGAACAGGAATGGAAACAGAACAACATAATTTGAATATTTATGAAGTATTTAATGGACAACTGATGGAAGATGTGCAAATAATGATTTTAATGTATGATTTTCATATCTTATGAAGGCACTGTGTAATTTTGCGCTAAACAATAAATTGGTCATCCCCACCAAGTTGCGTCCACTTTAGTATATATATATATATATATATATATCTTCCAAATGTTTATTTATCATATATAAATACGAAAAATATCCAACTGAAAATAATGTTAGACTGATGTAAATTTAATAATTAAGGAGTAAAGACAATTCAATGAAGGTGACAACCAGGTCTGTTGTGAGATATCAGCTCACTGAAGACAATGATGTATGGTGGCGCAACTTCGTGGATTGGTTGAAGTTAGACATTAACACCATTGGATGCCGGCTCAGTGGTCTAGCTGGTGAAGCGCCTGGTGCGAGACTGATAGGTCCTGAGTTCGACTCTCGCGGGGGTGCGGGGTCGTGGATGCGCACTGCTTCGGAGTCCCATACTAGGACGAAGCTGCCGTCCAGTGCTTCCAGGTTTTCCATGTTGGTCTAGCTTCAATTGAATCATGATTTCAATTTGTGAAAATCACGAAAAACTTGAAAAGGTTCATTATCTTTCATAGTTTACTTTTGATTCAATAACTAACCTTTAAAACACTATTTGGCTTCCATTTTGATATTTTACACTTCCAATCAGTTTATTACGTAATGGGATTCTATTTTTCTAACAAACTACTAATCTGTAAATATATTAAGTGAATGTGAATACGATTTTTCTGTTTTATTAAATGATATTAATATATACAAAGTTTTTTTTTCGCTGCATAGTCTTTACTTGTTTAATATTACCGTAGATAGATCTCTTTCGTTGTATAAATTAAGAATGAATAAGAAGTCTTGAAATAACCATTAATTTTTTCTACTGAAATTACAAATTTATTATCCTTTAGTTTTTCTTCTTTAATTTCTGTACATATTTTATTATAAATAGGGAAATTAAAGAGAAACAATGCTTATTTATTCAGCAATAAATCGTCTTGAATTTGACCTAAACACTCTAGAATTACTGAGAGTATACAATAAACATAATATTTTGAAGATGGTAACGTGGATTGGATTGTGGTTAGATTTGTACACTGTTGGACACCAGATCAATGGTCTAGAAGTTAAGCGTTCTCATGCGAGACCAGAGGTCCCATAGTAGGATGAGCCAATGATCCAGTGTCCCCAGGTTTTTGCAATGGTTGTCTAACTTAGATCGGTCCGCGATTTCAATGCAATTCTAATACCCTCCACAACTCATTCCGACAGTTATGTGCTCATTAGTGACTAGCCTCAAGAGGAAATTTCCTTAGCTTCAGTTAGAAGTCATAATAAGTGGAGCTTATTTGTTTATTTGAGGTTGGTATCCACTGAAAATAATAGATGTTCGCGCAATATCGTGGATTTATTAAAGTTAATCTTGTATACTATTGGATTCTAGCTCCTAAGGTTAAGTGCTCGCGCTCAAAACTGAAACTCCTTGGCTTTTGTCTCAATTGTTGGGTCGTGGATGTGCACTGTTGAGTCCTTTGTTCGATCCCCGGTGGAATCATAGTT